CCCACTGCTTCCTTCTCAGCTTCTTACCTTTGATGTAGACCCTGGGCAAAATATTTTGGAAAGGAGCAGCATGCAGCAAATCACAAACTTCTTCCTGGGACTGAGGCAGGAAGAAAGAAAGATAAAGTAAGTTAAAAATGCCTATAGGGATTGACTTGTATGGTTCAGGGGCCTGGGCAACAATACAATGACCCATTCAAATCCAACCCAGTTCGCATTAACTCAAATGATTTGAAGCTAAATGCACTAAAACTGAAACAACTCTGAACTTAGGCCAAGGAGTTTGCTATAACTCTAGTAGTTCACTACCTGCTTGTACAATGCCAGAGCTCTATGCATGTTTTTTTCTGGCCCATTCTCTAACACTACAAAAAAGAATAAAGAATGTGGAGATTTCAATTTTATCCTACCCTGTTTTTTTCAGAGAGTGCCCAGGTGGAAATTACTCTGTAGTTTGATTATTGCAGGACATATATGTGTCAAATATACCAGGGGATGGTTCTATTACCACTAGAAATGTAACATGCTGGCCTAAACTTATTTGGTTCTTCATATAGTAGTCACAGCCAGGGCCGTCAGAGCATCCTCCCAGTGTTGCAAGCACTAGGGAGAATAATACAGAAGTCCAGAGAGCAATAACATCATGAGATGCCACCTGAAAGTATGCATGCCAATGCACTAAAGAAAAAATAATCCCAAACACAGATGCACAAGGAAGAGAAACCTAGAAATAGGAATGTGGAGACTGAGCAGCGATGGCTGACAATACATCGTATACAAGTCTGCAATGGGAAACAGCAGCAAGAAAAACCAAAGCTTTTCAACACAGAGGCATTGCATCACAACAAAGCATTAGTTTGCTCCTACGAAACTCTAGTTCTAGGACATGCTTTCAGTTCTGAGCTTACCATAAACACTTAGACATACTTGAGAGGAGGTTATGATAGAGCTGCAAAAGATATTTGGGCATTGGATGGAATGACTCGGTTGGGTCTGTTTGGGATGCACTGGTGGACACCTCATCTTCCAGCCAAGAGGTGGTGAGCAGAACATAGCATGGAGTTGCAGGAGGCTGTGTTGGAGCCATGGATGCTGGTATGTGAGTGAGTTTGTGGGAGTGCAGTTTGTGACACAGTGTTGGAGGGAAAGGAACAGCCCTGGGTCCCTCCAAGGCCATATAGATGCTGGTGCTTGCTACCAGAGCAAGCCCATTCTCTTTGATATTTTGTTTGCAAAATGTTCTTCCTTTCTAGATGAAAGTTTTTTTTCACTGCTATTTCCCCCGATAAAGTGAGCATTTTTTTTTGCCATTTGTAGCCTGTGTTCGCCCATTATTTGCCCCCAAATTAGTCATATCATTAATAGATTTCCTCCTCAAGGAACCTGAGAGTAAAAACTATCCCACAAATTTAATCACAAGCAACTCTTCATCCCTGCAATTTAAACAATAAAAGAGGTAGAAGGGAACATATCGTAACCTTCACTATCACATTTTCTGTCAGGAAATACCACCAGCCTTAGATTAAACTGACAGTTAAGAAGATTACCGCATCATAAAAGCAATTTCTTTCACTGCATAAGAGCTCTATTAAAGAGAAAATCTTGTTCCATGATGGCTCTATGCATCTGTCAATCTTCCAGTGAGTGAGAACCTGTGCCTGCTGAGTACAAAACTGCTTTTGTATTCTAAACTGATTTCTCTGTGGAAGATCTAAGGATCAGAGAAGGAGAAAGTTTTGACTGGTGTGGAAAGCAGACACACAGGGATTTGTATGCATAGCCTTCCTAAAAGGCTCCCCAGATTCTCACTGTCTTCCTTTCTTTTCTTTCTGCTATTCTAAAATACCATCATACGGTTGATATACAGCTCCTAGCACAGGAGCCTTCAAATGAAGCAGTACTAAAAGAAACCACTTTGTGTTCTTTAAGTACTCATGTAAAAGATGGGAGAGAAAAGGTAAATGCAGTACATCTAGCATTAAATCCAACACTAACAGCAGCTGAGGGCACTAACAGACACAAAAGAGGAACAAACTTCCAGGATATAGTTTGTGACTCCAGGGGTTTCTAAAACACATCCAAGCCACTGAGCGATCCACATCTCTCCATAGCTTTTAATTTTACAGCAATTGCTGCTTCCTGAAGGTGACTGATGCACGACACTAGCAACTGAAAGACTCTGTCTATCTGTAGATAAAATGCAACAGCATGTGCAGAAATATCCATTTTGAGGAAATGCAGAGATTTTTAGTTTTCCCTGTGCTTTATGCTTGGTTAAAACGAGAGCTTTTGAACTTTCTGCTGGTTTTACTCCGAGCAAAACTTCCTTGTCTTACTCAGAAATCCCACTCTGCACTGGAGATGATTTTCTGAAAAAAAAATCTGGAAAAACTGAACCAATTCTTCCCCTCAGTTGGCTCTAGGCCAAACTATGAAGTAAAATCACTATGAAATAAATTTGTTGCATGAAAAACTAGAAGCTAAGATGATGTGTGGCTTTGAGCCTAGTCATAAAGGCATCACTCAGGCTAAGAGATTGAGACCTTGAACAGCCAATGCCAAGTTGTAATTCTGGTGATGTCTTTGGTGGAAAGAAACCTGATAGAATCAGCTGTTCTTCTGAAATGTCTTTCCTTTTAGATTGCTTTCTAGTTATGACCATTGTAACCAATGAGTTATTCTCATTGCACTGGCATTCCAAAACACTAACCAGAGGTTAGAACTTGAATCTAATTCTCACTCTGTGAATATATATTTAAAAAAAAAAAAAAAAGATCCCTGCCCCAAGGAGCTTACAGTCTAGAAATAAGCTCCAGATGATTTTATTTCTGAGAAGACAGCTTTCAGTTCGAGATTTAAATCTAGATCTTCCAGTATTCAGATTCTCCTTCAGCAATCCCAGATGTCAGTGACTCAGTGCCAATGCACATCTTCCCCATGGATGTGAGAGTGGTCCTCGGTAACACACCCCACAGAGACCCAGAGAACACAAAAAGACAGAAAGTAACATTTTCCAAACTCTTCTGCTTGTGAACCCACTTCTATTTATACTCTTGAGCTTGCAATTTCAAGAAAGATCTGTTGATTCAGGGGGTTTCACCTTACCAAAGCCTGCTCGATAAGGAGGCAGAAGAGAATGGCATTGCCCACTTCTCTAAGGCTCTGGAACACATCGGTCTTCAGCTCTGCATACTCAATGATGTCCTTCAGCTGATGATGGAAAAACTCCAGGATTCCTTAAAAGACAAGGAAGGGCAGTCAGAGAAGTGAGAGCAAAATCGCTCTCCAATGGCTTGGATACAAAGATAAGGAGTGCCTCCTGCTTCCCTAATCATGAATTTTATCCTGTGACTGCTAAGTGGCTAGATGGAGGTTGCTACTGAAAAGAACTATCACGCAGTCTTATCCTGCTTTCACTAACCCTTGGGGAATTTGGAGTATTTCATATGAAGTCACTGGATTTCCCAATTGTAGGAAAAAACATTCAAGGCTGTAAAGGATGCCTTTGTGTTGGCTCACGCACATCCATCACAGTCTCCCTATTCCACTCAACTGCAGACTGTAGTTGTCCTGAAAAAAAAATCTTTGCATCAGCTATGTTGAAGGTATTGAAAGATGACAATGAACTCATGAAGTAAAAGCTTGCAAAAATCTTGAAAATAAAGCATACCTATCAAAACACATTTCCTTATCAGTCATCTCTGTGTTCAAAGAGAAATTTCCTATATGTTTCATTGTCAGTAGAAAAAGATCTGAAAGAAGCACTCAGCACCATGATTAGGCTGTTAAGGCACCAAGACTTGGTAATTAAAACTAAGATTTTGCTCCTGTTCCTATTTTTCTGCAAGAAGGCTTCTCTTGAGAAGTTATCGGAAAGCCTAAAGCAACAGGAGCCTCAACAATATAAGTTTCCTCAAAAACAATGCAAATTGCCTTCATATACAATTCACAGTGTTTGGTGTTTTGTTCTGTTTCAGAGATTCAAATCTCTCAGTTCTCTATCCTACTGTGTTGTGCCAGCTTTTAATCTTACCCTGCCTGGGCTGGATGCTGCAGCAGCATTTCAGGTGCCAATCTGTCTAATTAATAGTACGTGCCTGAGTAAATGCTGCACAAGCATGTGGGAGAGCTCTTGCTGAAACCATTATGCATCTACCTCTAGAACCCACCTGGAGAACCATATTCATGTCTTGGCAAGCGGCATATCTTGGGCATTACTTCTATCAATGTTTTCACATATTGCAGGATCGTGCCTTGTAACTGTCAGACAGAAAGGGAGATTAAACTGGAATGAGAGTTCCTCTGACACTCGTTTTAAAAGCAAGTGGTTTGTGGGTGGGACAGGAAGCAACCTTAACTGTGAGTTCAAGAAGAATTTGCTTAGTTTGGGTTTCATCCAAACAAAACTTTCAGCCTAAGGGCGTGGAGCCAGAGGGCTTTTACAGCTTCCTCCTGAATGATAAACACTCCACCACCCCACTCCTTAACACCAAGAAATATCAGACCATCAACACAGGTGTTTCAGTACAGATTCAGGTACACAAAAAATACCCCAAATTTGGACACTCTGAACTACGATCCAAAGCTCACGATGACTTCCCAACCAAGACCTCTCAAAGCATTGAGGTTTTCCCATCACCGGAATTACCAGGCTCTTGACGATCTTCAACAGCTCTTCCATGACCACCGCAATCCCTTGATAGCCAAGAAGTCTGCAGATTGTCTTGAAATGAGGTGGCCCAACAAAGTTGCGGTAGGAGCTGTAGATGTGACTGTAGGCAATATTGAGAGGCTGAGAAATCAGAAGCACAGTGACAATTAGATAGGAGCATTTACGGGACTGTAACTAATTTTCTTATCATAGTATTATGTTCTGTCATTTCAAGCGGCTTTTAAGGAAAGGACAAATAATAATTCCCATGATAAATTTCTTCTACTTCTTGTGGGAAACAGGAGATTGCTTTTCTTTCTACTTAGTCAAAGATATTCCAGTCTCAACAGATTGTCATATCACAAGGTTTATTATTCCACTTTCTTACCAACACCACTTTTCCTTTCAAAGGTAATTTACTCTTCCATACATTCTGCATCAAAGACTTCAGTTCAATAGGCCTTTACCTTTTCAAACCCCAATTCTTCTCTTCTAAAACTAGAAGCTTTATATACAAGCAACAGGATAGGGGCATTTCTACTGGCATTTTCTTCAAACAAGGAGCATTCAGATAAGTAGGAACTACAGCATCCGGACTTAAGAGCAGTTGGAAGAGACAGAAAACATCCTTTGTGTCCTGTAAAGCCCTCTGTCAGTTTAACTCCGTAGACATCCACATGTGACTGCAAAAAGTGCTAGAATATGATCCTGGCCCATGAAGAATAGTACCTGGGGTTCCTTCCCCAGATAACTTTCTATTTAAGAGGATAAAAGTGAATGTCATTTCCAAGGATGCACTCCACCAGTACCATTTTGGAAATAGGGAAATTGCTGCAATATTTTTTCACTAGAAGATTTATTGGATCTATTTGGTAGAAGGAAAAGAGAAGTAGGGTGAGGTATTTGACTTGTGCGATCTGTGAAACACCACATGTCCCTTTTGTTTGTGACACTGCAGGCTCAGCCCTGGCTCTGAAATGGAAATATTCACATCATGACTCAGACCTGGCAGCAAAAGGTTGTATTTCCCCTCCCCACAACTTTAATTATAACATTTGCAGCTTCAAAAAACATTATTAAGTATATTCTTGAAAAGACTTCTGGCACACAGTCCTCCTTTCAGCAAGATGCAGATAAATCCCTTGGATCATGCTTACTGAAAGATATTTTCTAAACAAGGCTAAGAAAACACATTTCCTTGCATCCCAAAGGCCCTGCGTAACGCTTGTGGCACAGCCAGCCGTGTCTGAGCGCTTTCGCTGCCCTCTAATCCTGACCCATTCCCTCAAGATTTCCTCTAAGGTTTTGTGTGCTTAACAAGCTACAAAGTCATTTGATGAGAAGCAGGAAAGTATTTTCTTACGCTCTCAGACACAGAATTGTTGCTGACTGATGTACCAATTGTGCCTTTAAGACAGTTACTTTAATCAATTAATTAATTGCCCTCATTTTGTTACAGCCTGGTTGCTCAGTTCCAACAGTTCATTACCTACAATAATTCATAGGCATTTTTGATAGAGCTAGTAGAATGAAAATAAGAACACGGAAAGACCCCTACTTTCTTTAATATAAATTTGGCACCTGGCCCTGGTAGATGAAGAAAGCCTGCAATACTAGTATGCAGAGAATGGCTACTTTGAAGACTCTATGGCTTACTCATTCACAATGTGCATGAACTTTCTGTTCCATCAAAACTTGATAATAGGGCCTGACAAAAGCAAGGGCAGGAGTTTAAAAAATATTTAGGCAGATTGAAACCTATGTGGCATGCCAACTCCATTTAAGATAATTGCTTTTGAATATTGCACTTAGGTTTGCATCTTTAGACCTCCAAGTCTTTTGAAAAGTTTCTCTATCAGAGGCTAATCCAAAGCCACGAGATATGCACACTGACATGAGTGGAAAACAGCAATAATTTATGTTGTCAAAAGTGCGTCTATTTAAACACCAGGTGACACCCAGCCTCTAATTATTGCCCAACTGCTCTGATACAATCAGCCCAGACCCAAGCCAACGAACCATCAAGGCCCTAAGAGCTGTATTATAGCAGCATTGCTTGCTATAGCTTTTGCAGGATACCACTCCTGCAACATGGAGCCCACAGACCTTGTGTTTCTGCACGGACGACCAAGCCAAATACCAGGAAGCATGTTGTTTCCATGCCTCTCCATGGACTGCTTGGCACATACAGGCATCATGTTCCAGTTCCCTCTTAGATACTGCAGTTTGACTGCGGGTAACACACTGGGGGCTCACGTTCCTTTTGTGGAGGCCCACAAATGCATCCTTTTATGGAAACCCCTTTCCCCTGCATACTCCATGGAGAGGACATAGTTCTTTTTGCACATGCAATGGTCCCCAGAGATGGGACATCTCAAGGAGCAATCGGCCAGGCTTTCCCCATGATGGGGCTGACACGGGTGGGTAACCTCCCACCTCCCCAGTGCTCATGGCCCTCGCACGCACGGCCCTGCTGTGGGATGGCAGAGCCAGAGAGCAGAGCTGAAGTTGACTTTTCCTTAGCATGAGGGTCCCAGCGATAAGGCTGATGAACAGGGACACGTTTTAGGACATGCATGGGCTGCAGACAAGCAGGATGATTCATCCTCGCCTGCCTGCAAGATGAGGTAGGCTCCATGAAGCTCTCCACAGAGCCCCAGAGCGCCTTAACAACAGGCGTGTGGATAATAATAATAATACTGTGTCTGTGAGCAATTAAAATATAGCTCCATTTAAGGGTGAGATATACAGCTTGGGATAAAGACTGTAGGATGTAGAAGTGACACCAGCGTGTATTTTAAGACAAAACAGCTGAACACGCAGGCTGGCTGTACCGCACTGCTCACTCCCCCAGCCCGACAGCCCCCTCGGAGGGGCGGGTCCGGGGGCCACATGTGGCAGGACCAGCCTGCACCCCTCACCAGGCAGCAAAACCGCTGTCCTGGCCGGTCCCCTCCAGCATTTTGCTATTATGAGGAACAGCTGTTGTCAAAGGCGCTGCTGAGGTTTGCCCCACCTTTGGTTTGGGGCCAAACCAGCAGGTTTTGGGGCTAGGGGGCAGGGAGTGCAGGCAGGTTGGGATCTGCAGCGCTGGGCAAAGCTCCCAATGCACCACAGAGCAAAGGGAAACATAGCAAGTGCCTGCCCCGTGCCCAGGTCTCTGGGAGATCCGAGATCCTAGCACTTTTATGTTTGGAAGAATAGTAGGAATGGCCCTGCTGTGCTTTAGGAAGCAGACTTTCTGGGATAATAAGCAACAAATGCAATAAAAGAGAAAAACAGTTGGCATTACCAAGCCATTACTGTCTGTTTGAGCCCAAACTGACCTTTTTGAGCTCACCTAAGGATGAGCCATGGGCAGATAGTACTGCAAGTGCCAACCCTGTCCTCAAAAACAAGAACTAAGGAGGAATACACTTGGAGACAAACAAAGGACTTATTCACAGCCAGAGAGCAGACCAGAGTCTCAGGGGAAACCTACAACGATTGATGGTGTGAAAAAGTGAATACCAGTTCTGACCATACAGAGGAAGGCTCTAAGCTAAACTTACGGCAGCCAGCTCAGACACTGCCCGCTCCCTTTCCCTAAAACCAGCTAGATTCCTCCCTACAAGGCTCTCACCATGCTCAGCTGCATGATTCTGCTGCTCAAACCATCACACATGGAAAACTCCCATCCCCTTGCTGGGATACCCAGGACCTGGGACATACAGAAGGCACTTTTTTATACCACCTTGCTGTACCAACTGCAGACTTTGAGGCGTCAGGGGTGAGTAAAACTCCTTTTTGCAGAGCACTTTTTCTAAGAGCAGTGGCAAAGCTCCCTGCGTAGCTCAGACACTAATTTAAGGTGACTCCAGTGCTTGCCTGGCAGCGCCAGTGGGCAAGGAGTGGTTTGCACCCTGTGACAGCCGCTGCCAGCACCAACCTGCTCGACCGCAGCACCTGCAAGTCCGCGCGCCGCCGTCCCACGCGCACCCTCCTCCAGGTTACATCCACCTGGTTGTTTAAAATGGGTGCGCAGATTCACCCATGCAAGGGAATGAGTGATTTCTAGCAAGCCTGGCATGACCTTAAGCCAGACACTGCCAAGAGAAATGGGAACAGGCATGACAATACATAAACCAAGCTCAATCCAGCACGTTTTCAGAGCTAAGAAGTGGTTAACAAGCAGAAAGAAGTGGGTTGTTGGTAATTTTACAGCTGCTCTGTAGGAGACTTGGCAACCTGCTGTGTTTTTTAAGTAGCTGAAAGGCAGAAAATGGCTGTTTCTGCGGGGCACTCTGAGGAGCTCAAGGAAACCTGTGGTTTCCACCCCGGTGCAGCTGCTGTAAGGGGTGAGCAGGCCCAGGCAGGGCCACCGCGGCCACAGCTGGCTCTGCTCACAGAGGAGCAGCAGTGCCAGAGCAGCCTGGTTTGGGCACGTGGGCTAGGAGAGGTCCTAGCCTGGGAGAGGAGAATCTCACGCCCAGCCCCAGTGTGGACTGGTTTCTCACCAAGTTGAAAGGACACCATTTTAAGTGTCAGGTGGAGGTCATTACCAGTGTGACATTTTCTGAAACTTTAACACGTCTTTACATGGTTTCACATGGACACATACTGGAGAAAACACACTGGTGGAAGGGGTTATACGACACAAGCAGACACCAGAACAGTGAGTTGTTATCACATGCGTAAGAAAACATAGTCATGGGCATAAGCTCTTCCAAACCAACACTTCCTACTGCAAGCTCTTTGGCAGCAAGCTTGATTTTGGGAGCAGGTGATCCTGACAGGACTGAAAGGTTGTGTTGTGGTTGTCTTTGGGCTAGTGGTACTGACCAGGTTGTGGAGACATGCTGAAGGACTGTTGGCTGATCTACTCCAGCTTTCCCTGCTTATCTTTGTATTTTGGAGAACTTAATTTTTCATCTCCATCTGTTCCTGTGACAAATGTTATTTGTCAACACCCAAAATTTAATTCTGAAGCAACTGTGAATACTGATATGAACAACATGAGCGCAGCGAGACAGGCATTCTCTCCTGGATCCTGGATCATGTTGCAGAACACACCTCTGCAGCAGGGATATGTATGCACAGCTCCTTCCCTGGGGGCAAGAACATACTTTACTCACAGCATGGGATCAACTAAGAGCTCTGTTTCCCTGTGCTCCTGTAAGGAGAACCAAGGCAATGGAAGAGGCAAGAAGGCACCTGGGAGCACTTTCATTTCCATCCCTACCCATACTTATTTTCATTGCTGCTCCTAGATCTCTGGTAGCTGCAGCTCACAGAAACAGAAAGAAATACGGCAGCTCTTGGAAGACAGGACTGTACCATCCAGAACTGCAGAGGACAAATCAAAAGTTAGGGTCACACACACTTTTTGGACACTTAAATAGTTTGCCCTAATCCAGTTTCAGTTGTTGCCTCACTGTTGACATTCAGAGGGTCTTTGTAAGATCGCAAACTTCTTTCCCATAATGAAAGGGAAATAGAAATGCCAGACTCAGAAATTCAGGTGTCTTCTGGAAAGTTCTTCTCTAGATTATATTTCGGTTTCAGAGAGCAGTGACTCACTTCTTCAGACCCATGTGGGCCCATCTCCTCCAGTGCTGGCCTTGGCTCGGCCTCAGCCTCTTGCCTCTCACCTGACCAGCGCAGGAGATCTCCCAGTCTGATACAAGCTGGAGAGATTCAAAGAACCTCCTACTGCAATTCAACAAGAAGTAGATGCATTTTAAAAACTCAATTCCTATTCCTGTCACACAGCTTTGGGGGAAAAAAAAAAGCACCTAACAGACATTGCTGCAGCACCAGAGATGAAAATCTACTGCCTACGGGATTTGTTTAAATGTACAAGGAATCCTAACGCTAAAGACAAGCACCTGCGGGACAGGCCATCGATACACAATGCAGCAGCGGCTCTGGAGCTGCAAGGGATCCCTTTTGCCTGGACAAGCCCTTCTCTTCAATTGCCGCTAAGGACAGCAGTGTAGGAGAAGGGCCGCAAGTGCTGACTGTGTACCACTCCAAGTGCTCCTTTCCAGCCGCGAAAATAGCCCAAACAAGCTCAAAACCAAAACTATCTCGCTTGTTTTTCCAGCCTCAGAGACAGGCACCTCTCCCAGGCACAAGCGTTTAGGGCTAACGCTCCCAAATCACTCGAAGATGCTTGCTGCGTTCCCTCCTGGTTGCCATGGCGAGCGATGACGGAGCCGGGACGGGTATAAAGGAGGCAGCGGCTGGGAAGGACTGAGCCGGGAAGGACTGAGCGGAGCCGGGAGGGACCCGAGCGGCGGCAGGAGGGGAAGGCGCTGCCACCCGCCCTCACGTCACGTCATGCTGCTCGCGCACACCTGGGAGGGCAGGTAAGCAGCTCGCCGGGGCTCTGCAAGTGCACAGTGACGGGGGCCGCAGAGTTTGATCTCCGTATAAGAACAATTGAAACAATCTTAAACATGAACTGAATGAACTAAGGGACAGTTAGTTACATTAGGGTAGAGGGGAAGAAAAAAAAAGAAAAAAAATAGAAGAGCTCAGTTTTGATGGAATGAACAGGAGAGTAACTATTGTGTGCAGGTTCTGCTCAAAGCGCTCAGCGGGGATGGAGAAATCAGCTCTGCAGAGACTGTCTCAGGGATCTGAAGGAGTGATGCACTAAAATAATTTGTGGCTGTTGCTAAACAGTCATTCATTAGTAGTCTCCATGCCTTTTGTTTTTCTGGAGGAGAGCTTTATAATTAGTATTTATATTTTTGTTCTTCCCTAAATGTATTGACATTTCACCAGTCTTCAGACTTCATAACTAAATCATGATATAACAGCATGAGATGCTGTAGGACTGAAAGAATTGAGACTTTATAAAGCAACAAGTTAGATACTGAAAAACGGAGCAACTGCTTGAACCAGTGAAATAATCATTCATGGAGTTTGGAGACTCCACATTTCTTGCAAGGGAGAAGGATGTGTTTGCACAGGGAGAGAGTTTCCAGTCCCTCCTGCGTTTTACACAGCTGGACTCCTACTGTCACTTTCTCTCTGCAAAGGGAAATACATTTCCCACATTCAGAAAAGGGAGGCTGTATTGACTGAGAAAACAAAACACAAAAGAAAAACAGGAAAAAGTGTGAGCTTCTACATATGGAAATTATGGAAGCACCAGTATAAGAAACAAAAATGCTAAGCATGACAGGCACCTCAGCGATTGAGTTTCATTCCCACACCCTGTTTGTGGGCTTATGTGTCTATAGTGAAATGGGGAGGTTTCCAAGCAGATGCTCCTCAGGGCCATGGTACCCTTCTGATAATGTTAGAGGGTAGCAAAGTACTCAGCTTCTGAAAGTTTGCTAAAAAGTGTGAAGATAATTGTCAGGAAGCTTTTCATCTGCAAGCACCTGACATACTTGGCTGTTCTCAAAATGCTTTTTTTTTTTAAGTGTCTTTCACAAAGACTGTGCAAAGAAATTCATGTCATTTCCAACATCTTGTTTTAGCAGCTGAAGTCTGTACAGGTCCAATTTAAGGGCCAGTAAAGCCAGTGGAAAGATATTGATTTCAGTGGCCTTTAACTGAGCCTGTATATAAATTAAGATACTCAGCCTCTCCCTGCTTCTGGTTTCAGGACCATGATGAACATTGAAGTCCACAACATCACTTACACCACTGCCACAGTCTCCTGGGCCACAAACACCCCCTGTCCGGAGAACTACTACCATGTCATGTACCGACCCAACTGGAACAGCGTCTTCACTGGCTATTTACGCCAGAACTTCCATCGTGAGGAGCGAGTTCCCCACTCCCTCAGCTCCCTCATCCTCCACAGACTCACTCCATCCACTGTCTACATCCTCTGCATCACGTGCAAGAACTCTTACCCCTCCAGCAATCACTGTACCACCTTCCACACTCCAGATAAAACCCAGGGGGGTTTTGGTGGCTCTAAGCATGAACCTAGCACCTCCATGTGGATGGTGAGCAGCCTGTTGCTTCTTTGCTTTATAGCTATCTTGATCTATGGCTGCCTGCAGTTCTGGTCTGCACGGTGCCACAGGGCTTCAAGGCTGAAGCACTATGACACCAACTCAGAAGGAGATGTGGGTGAACAGAGCAGTTCGCTGGAGGGGCCTCTGAATAATGGACTAAAAGAGGAGCTTCTGGAAGTCCCCATGACAACTGTTCTAGCGAGGAGTTCCAGCTTCATGAGGGACAGTCCATATAGGTCCCCCCAGTGCTTTTTTCCCTATAAAAACAGTGATGATAAAAAAGCCATCTTGCCACAGCATGGCCTTCAGTGACAAAGGGACCCCTTGCTTAGCAGTTTGGTTCATGCTGCTCTTTTCCAGCTCTTGCCAATGTGATCATGGAGGGTCTTTGTCCCAGTGTAGAACATGAGTTGGAGACATTAGCTACAGGGAGAAAGATTTTTGTCAAAATACAAAAATATTCTCATTTACTGAGGAGGTTTAGAAAAATCCAAGGCAAATCACTGAGAATAGACAGGCTAAGCTGACTCTACTGTCATTATCTTAACTGTATCGCAGCTGTAGATTTACTTCAGAATCATCAAGGTACATCCACAAGAAACAAACTCCACCCAAGTAATTTCATACTTGAGTGACACTTCATTAGTGTCCTAAGACCTCATAAAACCTTGTATAAACCACCACTGAAGTCTTACAAAAGAGCTTGCTGTCGCTATTAATGAACTATATCTGCAAACAAATAGCTTAGCAATTCTTATTTTGAGCTACAAATTGGTTTCTGGAAGTAGCAACTTCCCCTGGGAAGAACACTATTCTAGAGCTCCAACTTTCTACTCTCTGCACATATGGAAAGATAAGACTTGATTCAGTGCCAACGACAAGCGGAGCGGTGTTAGCTCACCCTGACAGTGGTACTTAATGAGAAGAATATGGAAAGCAAAAGCAAAACCACACTGAAGCTGCCTGTTGCATGCCTTTTGGTTTCACACAGCTGTGTGACCCTGTGCATTTGCATCTGCTGCTGTGTTAATGAAGCAGTTCTTGTGTTTCCTTCTTCCTAAATAAATGCTTCCAACATCCATCCCTACTGACTGCTGTGGCTCATTTACTGACCTTGGATCCGTAGAGGTAATAGGGCTGAACGTTGGCTGGCTTGTCCCGCTGGGGCTCCTGTGTGAATGGGATTGCAGTCCTTACAAACCTGTGGCAGGCATGGCAGAAGGGAGGGAAAACAGACCATACCTCATTAACTGTGCTCTGCACAGTGTTGGGATGAACTGCATTTGCAGGTTAATTAGCATGATCTAATGAGTTTCTTTCATCACCTGCGTCACATGAATTCATATGCAAGCTCCTGCCTCAATTTGCCAGTGATGTGAAACACATTGACTTGTAACAAGGCCATAATAATTCTATGAAAGGTGTTTTTTCCTCTATGAAAGGTATTGCAGTAGGCAACAAACATTTATACTAGTGAGCACTGCAGCTCTGTACAGTACAGAGTTGTACAGAGCTCTGTACAGCTCTGTACAACTCTCTAAATCACACTAACCCAGGCGAAGGGGAGCTGGCGGGGGGAGTGCTTTTGTGTCATTCTCACTGCCACTACCGTATCTCACAGGAAATGAAAATGTCACTGCAATGCATGCAATTTTATGTGTCAGGTTTAGTGTTTCTGACTGAAACATAAGGTCTCCAGCTGCCCCTTGCATTGGTTTTCCTCCCTTACCTGTTGGTGGATCCATTGTAGCAGTAGTTTGGTAGAAAGTCAAAGTTGAGCTCCCAGAAGACATGGAGAGTGATGCGCCCGTAGGGCGCGGAGACGTTGTGGTTGGCCTCTCGGAACATGGCATCGAAGCTGTCCAAAGTCATGTGCTTGCAGAGCAACCTGTGAGTCAGGCGGTTTATTTCCAAGAGCCACTCCAGCTCCTGCAGCACACAAAGCAGCTACATGTTACTGAGATGACAACAGAAACAGTTGATTTAATTGCCAAAGGAATTGTTTTTATATCTATACCCACACAGAACTTCCTGTGTGTAACAGAACTTTGATACCAGGTGAGGATGTAGCAAATGCTTAAGAGGTCAGTTTAACTCAGAGGGCAAGGCCAATTGCACTTCTACTCAACAGGATCCTGGTCCAGTATCTCCTAAGCCCACAAGCAGCAAAAGTAATTTGTTTCCCACTGAGCACTGGCTGGCTTTCACATCGGAAGCCCTGGAAGGTGGAAACTGGTAATTTTACACCACTTGACTCTGATGCTCCTGTAATGTATCAAAGGCAGCAAATCCTGCACACAGAGACAACAAACAATCTCTCAGTCACCAGCATCCAGCAACGGGAATTAAAGCCAGGATCTCCTCCTAGATCACAGGACACTACTATGTGAGCTTTGAAAAATCTAACTACTTACTGTTACCTTATAATTTACTTCATGGTTTAATAATAATGCAATTACGGATGGATAAATATTAGAGATTTTGTACGATAAGGGAGAATATATGACCTACTGTATTTGAGCAGAAGTTATCTGACTCTATATAAATTGCAGTGCATTAATCTCTCTGTTCACACCCTTCTTTCAGTTAATCATGGTTCTTACCACTATAGATGTTAGGTCCTCACTCTCAAAGCGGCTAATGGCTTGGTCTAATGATTTGTACATTGCGGCTGAGATACGCTGAGTTATAAGCCTATTCAGGTCAATTGATCTACCTAGCAACTGTGAAAAGAAGAAAAGATATTTGCATGTTAAACACAGATGCAGAAAAGCTTTCAGTAGACACAAATTAAAACCAAACATACAAATCTGCTTAAACATGAAAACAGTGATGCAGACTCCCCTCTTGATTTTACCTTTTCCAAAAAGAAAAATGAGGGAAATGTGTAGTGTAACGCACTTTCCCCTCAGCCACCAGCTCCTCCTGTGTATAGCATGCCAGAAACAAGTGAAATTATCCTCATTCCAACATCAGTCTTGACCGAACCCAGGACTAGGACACTAAAAAAAGAGACCAATAGCTTTGAATACGTAAAATTACTGCTTGCACTGTACCTGGACGTGCCTCTGCTTGAGTAGCGTCTCATAGCGGTTGGATGGCGGATATGGAATGATCACTCCATAATTCTTACATTCAGCCCGGAAACGTTTATCCAATAGAACACTGAAAAATGGAAGCAGTGTCAGGAAAACAGAATCAAGCTTCAAAAGCTTTTCTCTGGATCTTTTCCAGATTTGCTTTCATCCTTCTTTTCATTGTGTCCTGGGTGCCAAGAATTTTCACACACTATTTTCACACACCTATGTCTTCAGTACTAAAGCACAAAACTGGAATTGTTATTTGTGGACTGCCATGCTGCAGTCTATCATCCCTGGGTGCCAAGAATTTTCACACACTCTTATACCTATGTCTTCACTACTAAAGCACAAAACTGGAACTGTTATCTGTGGACTGCCATGCTGCAGTCTATCATTCTTAGCTTTTACAGATAAAACATCAAAAAAGATACAAGATTATGCTGAAAGATATCAACTACTGGGACATTTCCACGGGTATGATCTCTTTTTGAAAAGCTACTGCTGGAACATTTTTCTTCTCTAACGCCATAAATGATCTACAGAAAATATCCCTTGCAGACTTCAGAATGAGCAGAGATGAACTGTTCTGTTATGTCGGCACGCAGCAGCTACTCCCCAGGAGAACCTTTGGGTTAGCTGTAATTTGAATGCAGCAATATCCTCACTCATTAGCAGCAGTCAAGTTCTCCTACCTGCCAGCCATGGCTTTATAATAGGCAAAGATCTGATCTGCCAGCTTGTATACAAATTGATCAAAACACAAATTCACCTGGGGGAGAGAAAATAATAGACATCATGAGGCTGTCCCCAAC